TCATAACTTAATCGGAAGATGGCATAACATTCGTTTTTACAATGTCCGGTAAAAGCGCATATGTTAATTAAGTTGCGGTTAACTTAACGCCAACATTGAGTGGTGATTATCTCTTAACCAGAAGATAATTTGACAGCTGAAAATTATAAAATAATACATAAAATAGTATTCCGGTGCTGGCTTTAAAATAAATTTTATTATAAAAAATTTTTAATGGAAAATGATTTTGCAGCGGAAATTTCGCTTTTAGCATTACGTTTTAATACATCGTTATGTGTTTTAATTTGTGTTCCGGTGTTGGACGCAATAAAAGTGGGGATTGTCAGTCGGGTGGTAACTACCGCGGCGCTTTTCATATCATTCCACCGAATAGCGAAGTTTCCAAAGGTGTTGGGGTGTTTAGATTGCACTCATGTCAGGACTTCCTTTAATTGGGTGGTAGTGGATATAGTTCGTCTGTCACTGCATGGTGTGTCAACTTTTACATGCCAATCTTCGCGCTGAACGTTTTTACAATGAATATCAAATTCATGCTCGAAACTTCATATCGAGGAGCTATGGATTGAGAGCTTCGTTCAGCACAACTATGAACATCTTTGTTGTCTGCAGAGTATTGCACAATTTAGCTACCTAGAATGACTCTAATTTGGAAGAGGTAGACATTCAAGTAAATGAACTAGCAGAAACATGCGTCGATGCCGACGAAAACATAACTGAGATGCAAGGAAACCATATGTATGTAATTCATTTTTTACATGTAATTTAAAATCATCAAAGTCCTTTTTCGCAAATAAAAATGTATGAAATAATATTCATTGAATAACAATTTTATTTCCATAACCACAAAATAAAACTCAAAAAAAAGTAAGATCTTAAGAATTTCTCAATCATATCGTATATAAAAATGTTAGCAAATACCAGCTGTCATTCAGTTAGCTACCCTTCGGTTAAAGGTTAAGTTAATCGGAAATTGCGAAATCGGGCCTAAGTTGAGTAAACAATATTTAATAACTCATGCAACCACTTTCGAAGAAAACTTAATTATTTGCCAAAGCAGAGACGAGAAGATAATAAAAATAGAGCTTAAAGAAATCCCTTACTATTACTGTTCATTTCTACTCGGGTAGATTAAACTCACAAGCATAAACACTTTTTCATCATGAGTTAAGGCAATTACTCAGGTAGATTATATGTACACATTTGCTCTACATTCACTTGTAGAAGCGTTTACTAGATTTGTCAGATTGTACCCAACTAAAACAACAGCGCCAAAGAGCAGTCTTAAGAGGAATTTTTAGGAAGTAATAACGTCGAGCACGTAAAAGTATCGACAACTCAACTCAAGCAAATGGACAAACCGAAATTGTTAATAACAGCTTAGGTGCAATGATTGCAAAAATGGCTGACTCTGAAGAAGATAAAATATGGGAACAAACGTTAGAGTTTATAGAACATGCTATAAATAATACCGTTCATAAAACTTCAAAAGAAAAACATAGTGTGTTATTTTTAGAAGTTAAGCAGAGAGAAAAGTCATAAACAGCCTTAGGGAAAATCTCTTAGAATCAGCTTGAGAATCAAGCCCGGTTTCAATAAAAACTGTTAGGAAACAAGCGCAGATAGAACAAAACAAAACGCAAGCTTACAATAAAGGAAATTCAGATGCTAAACGACAAGAGTGACGTAAATTCAAAGTAGGTGACTATGTATGGTTCTCAACGTCAGCTCTTAAACAGTGGTGTCCAGTAAAATAATTCCTTAATTCAAAGGACCATACAAAGTAGCGGAAGCTTTAAAAAATCACCTGTTTGTAGTAGAAGATGTCGAGGAATTCCAACAGACACAAATACCTCATAAAGGCAATTGGCTAATTACAAATTAAAAACCTTGGTACCAGTATAGAAGAGATAAGAAGAGCCAAGTCAATTGTATGCTAGTACTGTCAATCGATTAATGTTTTGCTTGCATTAGCAAAGCAAGTAGCGTGCGATGAAAATTTGAAATTTTGAAATTTGATATTCCGTTACTGATAACATAATAAAAAATGTTAATTAATAATTAGCCCTATCCTGCATTTCGATTAAGTTTCGGTTTCCGCTTCGTAAGGTTCCGCTTCTGAATTACGACCGAATCGAAAGAAGAAGAATAGGAGAGAAGATATTTTCGAAATCAACTGCTTGCATGTGAATTCGAGAAATCGGAATATTGCAAAGCCGTCTGCTTACAAATTGGTTTTAAAAAAAATTAGTAAGTATAAGTAAAACTATATGTTTTATATATTATTTTGGAAAATGTAATCAAAAAACGCGGCGATATTTTCTATCGATGATAATGGTTTTCTTTTTATTACCTCATATCTAACGTTTGATTCAGCACTTCCATTCCTCTCACGCCTAAAAAAGTAACGTTAGATTTTAATAATAATTTTCTATTATTACCTTACCATTCTCCATGTATCGGAGTCTTTTGATAATGGACCAAGTGCATTCTGAGCAATTGCAACATCCTCCCAAAATGCTTTTACTTCTTCCTTCGAATTGGTTCCGCCAATTGCATTCCAACACTCTAAAACGTAATTACGTTCGAAGTGTAGAATATATAGAATTAGATAGAATCGAAAGTTTCGAAAATTGATCTAAACGCAAAGTAATGAAGAATTTCGATTAACTAAGTAATTAATTAACCGGTAACAGTGAGAATAGGCCTATAAGAGTGAAAATAAACTCTTAATAAAAACATTGAACTAGTTTTTGAACTTTTTGTTATCAAGAAAATACATATGCAAAAAAAATGTTTCTTTGGTTAGTGAAAAAATTAAAAAAAACTTTATATAAATTTATATACTAAATTACTTACTTTCGTACGGTGCGACAAAATAACTCTTTGTTGATAAACGAAGCCCTAATACATAGTAATGTCGTTGTTCCTTTTTCCTCAACATTTCATATTTTAAATTTCTCTCGGTCCATCATGATCATTGTCAGATTCCTTACGGCATCCGTTATTCGTTGTGTTACGATTTTGCTGAATCAACCTCGATGATTTTCTGAATCCTTCGGGTACGATCTCTGGATTGCTAAATAAAAATCGCCAACTTAATTTGCAGTTTCTTTCGTTATAAAGAATTTATCTAATGTCCTTTATTTACTCAGTAACTCACAATTCAATTATAATGCACTTTACTATTTACAATCACTGTCATCACTTTCACAATTTACTCTACTTAAATGTAATCTCCAACGCGTTTAGTTTACGACTCTATACTGATGTTAACGCCAACGAGTTCACTTTGTAACTGACTTCTTGGCAGCTCAATGTCGGCTTTATATAGCAGTCGGCTGTTCGTAGACGAAAGTGTAGAATAATCGAGTTGCTCGCCATCGAAGGTTCTCGTCTGATCGTTCTAGAGCGTACTAGTCATCGGCTTCTCTCTTTCATCTGACATTCGCCTCGCATTTTCGCAACATTTGGTACTCTCATTGTCGTGATGTTAAATCTGGCAACTTTTCATTCTAACGTAAGCATCATCGACATATCAATGATCATAACCTTATATTTGACATTCAAACCATGAGATAGCCATATGCGAGTCTGACAGATTTCTCCTACACGAAGTTTCTCACTTGTAAACTTCTACGATGCACAGCATAGAATTCCCGTGTCTTCGCTTTTTGGAATAGACAATTGTGTTTTGTACTGTTGCGAAAATGCGAGGCGAATGTCAGATAAAAGAGAGAAGCCGATAACTAGTACGTTCTAGAAACGATAAAACAAGAACCTTCCATAGCGAACAATTCGATGCTTCTACGCTTTCGTCTGCGAGCAGCCGACTGCTATATAAAGGCGACACTCAGCTGCAAGTCAAG